TGTGCTCCTGCTTTCCCTGGCACCATGCCTTGCCTGGAGACACAGCCAGCAGCCCAGCTATGTCCCAGGGCTCTGGGCCAGCCGCTTGCCAGGATACCCAGGATGGTGCAGTGCCCCATCCCCATGGCACAGGGGGTGGTGTGTGTTGGGAGATCTGTGCCAACACGCTGTGTGCATCCCCCACAGGACACCTGACCTTTGGCCTGGGACAACCCAGCACTATGGCAGACCCCCCTGGCTGCTGCCACCCCTGTGCCACCTGCCTGCTCTGCCTTTACAGCTGCCACTGGATCACTGCCAAGAAGGAGAAGAGGAAGGGCCTGAGAACCACCAAGGTGATACCATGGGTGATGCTGAGCTGGGGCTGGCCAGTCCCTGCGTGGGAGGCTCGGAGTGGTGGCTGGGATGGGGAAGGGTTCTGGCTGGGGCGCTCAGCCCATTGGGCTTCTGACCCCTTGCCACTGGTCCTGCTCCCCAGGGCTGAGCCCCAAGAGAGCTGGCATGCTACCTGGCACCCTCTCTGTCCAGGGACTGCCCTAGCCTGGAGCAGTTAGAAGGTGAGAGGGTGAGCTGTCTGTTCCCACTGGGTGACAAGAAGGTCAGAGCAGCATGCTGGCAGCAGCAAGGCTGAGCCATGACTGTCCCCTGCCCAGCCGAATGTGCATCTGTGGCAGGGCTCATGTGTGCCTGGAGCAGAGTGCTGTGCTCCCCAAGGGCTGAGCGTGGCAGGCAGGTCCTGGGGCGCTGAGTGCATGGCAAGGCACATGGGAGGCACAGTTCCTGAGCTGGGTGCGGCCTCTGCCAATGGGGTGCTGGAAGGGGGTGTCCCCAGCAATTTGTAATCTGGGAGGGGTGAGGCCCTGAGATTCTCTGAGGTTTCCAACTCCCATGGGAGCGGCTGTGCCACTGCTTGTGCTATCTTGCCTGGAATGTGCGAGCTGGTCCAGGCTGCCAGCTGTTCCACTCAGCACCTGTGGCACCCTTCACCTCCCTGTGTGCGTGGGGCTGGGGTCTAGAGACCCTGAAGTTGGACTTGGCATCAGCTGGGCAGGCAGGAGCAGTCTGCAGGCTCACCACTGCAATGGCATCTCTGAGGCATAGCACCCCTCTCTGCCCAGCCTATAGATCACCCAGCTAGAAGGGAACAGGACCTTGCTGCCTGCCCTTTCCCACATCCAAAGTCCCAGCCTGCTCCCAGGGGCTGCTGCATGGGAAAGGAGGCAGTCCTACCACAGGGGCTGTCCTCCCCAGCCTGGCATAGGCAACTTTTTAGCTTGTTGGAGGAGATGCTGGTCCATTTTCTTGTAACATAGGTGCAGCCAAAAGGCTCTCTGGGGAAGTTCTGTTCCCACTCCACGGGGCAGCTCAGGGCCTGGGCCCATGAGGCCAGTGCCTGCTGTGACCCCCTGTGCACCCTGCTGCAGGCTGGGTGCTTCCCAGGGGTTTCAGCAACCCGGCCAGGGGGCTAGGTGCCCTGCAGGTGTGGGTATAGCTGTCATCTTTGGCTTTCAGTGTGACTGCAGCTGGTTCCTTTTCCTCTTCTGCGTCTTCCTCTTCACACTGGTGTGGCTCTACTTTGCCATCATCATCCTCAATGATTTCCACAACTTCAATGAGTGAGTAGGATCCCGTGTCCAGCCTCGCTCCCCATGTGCCCCCTCCCCTTCTGACCATCCCCTTTGCTGGCAGGTTCATCTTCAAGCAGAGGAAGTTGTGGCTAGACTGGTCCCTGGTCCTGCTCATAGCTACGGCCGTGCTGGTCACTTACTCAGCCACACTGCTGGTGAGCCTCACTGTTTCTACCTGGGTTAGTGGGGGTACGGAGCTGTGCTGAGCACAGGCTGGCTGCTGTGCCCTGTGCAGAGCCAGGTGGAGCCTGCAGCATCCAGCCTGCTGAAGCTGTGTCAGCCTGAGCATGGCCAGAGGCCCTGCCTGTGTTAGGGGGCCAGAGCTCCTGTGACTGAGTCCTGTGCTCTTAGGGGGCTGAGGTGTGGGGTACAGTCCAGCTCTGATATCTCCTTGTTCTTCTCACAGGTCCTTGCTTTGTGCTTGCAGCTCTGCGGCCAGCCCTTGAAGCTACACTGGCTGCACAAGGTGAGAGATTGGTGGTGCAGGGAGATGGTGGCTGCCCTGGCTGCCCTTGCACCTTGGGAAGCTGCAGCTAGCCTACTGGGGCAGTGTATGGCTGCTGTGATCCCACTGAGGGGCTATGTATCCCTGCTGAGCTGGGCTGCAGCAGTTAGTCCCCCAGCTAGATGTCTCTGGGATGGGAAAATTCCCCTTGCTCAAAGCATGGGATACAGAGCTCAGCTGCAAACCCAGATGGGTGAAGTGGGGTCTCAGGACTTGCAGGGACCCAAGAGGAAGGGATGAAGACTCTGCCTGCCCTGCCAGGGCAGAGACCAGCTGGCCTGCAGGATGCTGTGTGCTCCCCTAACTGCTCTGTGCCCTGTCCCACAGACTCTGCTGATCTTAACTGCCCTGGTGGTGGCTGCAGCCTTCACAGGGCTGGGAATGAAGTGGGCGGAGGAGTGGAGAAGTGCACGTGTCTCCCTGCAGGTGAGTCACCTTGATACCAGAGACTCCTCCACTGTACCCAGTACCTGGCCTGTCAGGATGAGCTGAAGGGTGGTGACTGGAGACCCCAGCATGGCTCTGTACCATGGGGGTTAACTCCCTGCCCCTGACTTCTGCTGCCTGTCCAGGCAAGGTGCTCCTCTTGCTCTTGCAGTCCTGCCTGGAGCAGCTGCAGTCAGGGTGATGAGTGGTGGCTGGACCAGAGCAGGGAGTCTGTTCAGTCCCCCTAGGAGCCTGTCCTTCCCTCCCTGGCACTGTGGCTCTTCCAGCAGTGCTGGCTGCAATGGCAGATCCCTGGCATTGGAGCATGTGGATTTTGGGGACAGGGGCTGGGCTGGTGCCAGCTGACACCCTGCCTTTGCCTCCCCAGGCAACAGGTCCGTTCCTGCACATTGGAATCGTGGGGGGAATGACGGTCCTCGCCTGGCCACTGGCTGGCTTCATCTACCATACCCGCAACACAGGTAATCCCCCTCTAAGGTCTCCACCTCCCCCCTCAGCTGGTGCCCTGCTCCCTACCACCCAACCGGGTGGCACTGGTGGCAGAGTGGTGCATGGAGAGCATCAGTGCCATAGGAACAGGTTCCCAGGACTGTCTGGTAGTAACACCTGTTCTTGGTTGCCCTTGGTGCAGCTTCAGCCCTCACTGCTTTGCAGCTGAAGGGCTATGGATGGCAGACTGAGTCCTACAGAAGTGCTGTATTGGGGTGCAAGGACATGTAGTGGGCCAAGAATAAACCTGCAGTGCTCCTTAGGCTGAGGATGCAATGCCTGACTTAAGGCAGTTAATGCCAGGTGAAGCAGCCTTGGCTTATTCCTAAAGGTCTGCACAATACTTCCTCTGTACCTCACCCCTCAATCTTTATCTCTGCCTGCAGGTCTCATGTTGTTTCTGCTGCTTGTGTACTGCATGGCGATGATTGCGCTGTATCTGGCTCCCCTGGGAATCACTTCCCCTTGCATCATGGAGGAGAACCAGTTGCCCCCCAAGCCAGCCCTGGTTGGCCACCGAGGAGCCCCCATGGTGAGCGACCAGCACTGGCAGCATCCTGGCATAGTGGTCAGGGTGGATGGGGCAGGCTGCTCCAGCAGCAAAAGCAAGACTGTGCCTGGCCATGGGGCACCAGCATCAGACCCTTGCTGCTGCAGGCTTGGACAAGCTCTGGCCAGCCTAGTAGAGAGGGGTCCCCACACCAGCCAGGACAGCACATGGCAGGAGGATGGGTGAGCACAGGGTGAGGAGGGTGGGCACAGCAGCCACAGGGCAGAGCTGCTTGCTGAATGCTGCTGGACCAGGAGCAGGTGACTCTCAGCAGAAAGCCTGGCTATGTAGTGTGGGCTGGGAAGCAGGGACTAGGCAGGCTCTGGCTGTCTGCACCCAGTCCTTTTCCATCCCCACTCTACCAGGGCCACCCCTGTCTCATTGTGGGTGCCCTGGAGCCCAGCCAAGCTGCTGAGTGCAGCCAGGCAAGATGAATGCCTGCCTCCTGCCCCTTCCCACCTGTGCCCTCTGCAGTAACACCATTCCTTTTCCAGCTGGCCCCCGAGAACACCATCATGTCACTGCACAAGGCAGTGGACTGTGATGTGCAAGTCTTTGAGACAGACGTCATGGTGAGGTAAAGGGGCAGCAGGGATTTGGAGGGAGGGAGGAAGGGGCCTGTGTATCCTGGGATGTCCCCTCCCACATGGGGCATTCTGGAACACACCTGGAGGACTGCTATAGCCTGCATTTGGAGGCAGCTTTGTTCAAAGGGCTCTGCCATTCCCACCTTCCCAGTATGGGACTGGCTCCAGCGTGGTATCCTAATGATCTGCAAGAGGTACTGGGTTTCTGTCCTCCCCGTGCAGGTTGCCTTCCAGGGCATTAGGAGGGAGGTACCATCAGGGGAGGGGCACTGCTTGGAAAACAGACCCTGGCTGTAGTTAACCTCATGCAATCCTGCTGAGGGGACAGCTGTTGCAGTGAGCAAGAACCTACTTGGTTCCTGGCTTGGTCTCTAGGCGCTCTGTGCTTTTCGGACACTCACCTTCTTCTGTAGAGGACCACAAGTAGGCATAAGGGTGGGGGTTACCCCAGCAGTGTGGCTGGGAGGGGGCAGAAATGCCAGGGCTGGCATAGGACAGAAACAGTTTGCAGCACAGAGCTTCCCTCTCCGCTCTTTTGCCAGTGCTGATGGGGTCCCATTCCTCATGCATGATGAAGAACTCACCAGGACCACCAATGTGCAGGCTGTGTTCCCCGAGAGGACTGCCCTGAACAGCACTGCCTTCAACTGGACAGACCTCCAGAAGTTGGATGCTGGCAGCTGGTTCCTGGAGGTCAGGATGCCCCTGGGGTGTCTGGTCAGGGATGGGGGTATTTGTGGGTGAAGCACGAGCCCTGCCCTGGGGAAGGTTCCTTCTAGAGCACTGGTCCTGGCAGACACGTGGACAGGGTGCAGAAGCACTTCCATGCCTGCACAAATCCCTTGGGTGTGGTTATGCTCCAAGCTGGGGTTTGTTCTGACTCCTCAGCTGAGTCATGGAGGAGGCTGGTTTGAGGAGAGATGTCTCATGCATTTGCTCTGAGCTGCACAGCCTGCCTGGGCTTGGAGGCAGCTGTGGCAAGGCTTTTCCCAAAGGGTGACTAACCAACTGCTGAGCTGCTGTGAATGCCCACAGGTGTTTGGGCTGTTTGAACTGTGCTGTTAGTAGGGAGAAGGGTAGAGGTGCCCTGTGGATGTGCAGGCGAAGGATCCCTGTGCCTGTCCACACTGGAGAGCATGTGGAGAGGCCAATGTAGGAAACTGAGAGCCAGAGATGGGCACCAGTTTGGGAGGTGGAAGCTTATGGAGGTGTCTGCCTATGATGACTAACTCTCACACTTGCAGCGGAGGCCATTTCCCACAGTGCAGAGTCTTTCTGCTGGCGATCGCAACCAGGTGACTGAACAGAGGATCCCATCGCTGCAACAGGTGCTAGAGGCAGCCAAGCAGAGCAATATCTCCATTATGTTTGACCTCCGGCCTGAGAACCACAGTGACTACCAGAGCTTTGTCAATGCCACCCTGAAAGTGATCTTACAGTCAGGCATCCCACTACAGCAGGTGAGATGGTCACTGCCCCATCACCGCTGGGCCCTGCTGTCACACCCCTGCCATGGTGGGAGATGCCCTGCCAACCCCACTGAGCATCCTGCCACCCCATACACCACATCCCTGCTGGGGAACCCTGTCCAGGTGTGAGGTTCTCTAGCTGGAGAAGTTGCCAATAATTAGGGGTTAATGCTTACAGCTTCAGACCCCTCCAAATACTCTGGTTTCCCAGCACTGGCCACCCTGGTGTGTAAATAGTGACTCAGTCTAAGGAGGGGACCAACAGGGCCAGGAACAGCAGGAAAACAATGCTCAGACTTCCACCTCCCCACACTGTGCCACACCTCTCCCTGCAGCCCTTGGACTCCTTCTGCAATCTCCTGTGTTGTCTTTGCACTTCATCCAATCTCTGCAGCACAGGACATGTGCTGCCCTGAGGGGATAAATTAGCACCCAAATCACCTTCCCTTCTTGGCTTTTTGGGAATGCAGAGCAGGAGGGGACACAGCAAAGACTTGTACTGTAGTGCTGATCCAAGGTGCATTCTTGCTGCAGAGTTAGGTCCAAAAGGATACACTGCTTGATCCCAGAAACAACTGCTGCAGCTTTCTTAGGCTGGAACTGCTTTCTCCCCTTAGTGGGGTCTGTTGTGCTTACTTCTTGGCTGGGGCAAGCTCTTAGGAGACTGTCCTGGCTGAGATCCTCATGGAGGAGCTGAGCCTGGAAATGGGGGGCAGGGAGCAGCTGTTGGAACAGGACACGTGTGCCTGGACCTGCAAGAAAATATCAGAGAGCAAGCTCCCTGGAACACCTCTCCTCTCCATGTGGTCTCTGGCTTTTGCCTAGGTCCTCTGGCTGCCAGATGGTTTCAGGGAACAGGTCAAACAGCAAGCCCCAAGCATTCAGCAAGTTTACGGCCGGAAGAGACTCCAGAATGAGGAGCCACTGCTGCGTGTCAATCTGCCTTACCAAGACATGAGCTCTGAGGAGATCAGGTGAGAGCCCTGTGCCCAGCAGCCTGGGAGCTGTGGGCTGTGGGGCCTGGGCATTGTCCCAGTTCTGTCCTGGGTCCAGCAGAGGTGAGGTCCAGCTGAGGCTGAGTGCTGACACACCTTGCAGACAAGCATGCCTTACCAGGCAGAGCTAGTACAGGGGATGGAGCTGGCTGCAGTCCTCTGCTTTGCCAGCAAATCTGCCCTGTGTCTGGCAGTCCAGACAGTTGCTCCATGTGGCTGCAAATGCTGGATCACATCCCAGATATACAGTCCTCTCTGGCTGTACACTGAGTGTGCCGGTACCCTGCTGTCTGCTGCTCTGACCACGGCTGTCCCTATGCAGGCAGTACCGCCAGGACAACATCTCTGTCAACTTGTACGTGGTGAACCAGCCCTGGCTGTTCTCCGTGCTGTGGTGCTCTGGGGTGAGCTCTGTCACCACCAACGCCTGCCAGGTGCTGAAGGAGATGAAACACCCTATCTGGCTGCTAGTAAGTGACCTCTCCATCCTTCACCCTGCCCCACAGTCCTGTGCCCCAGGCACTTGTGGGTCCTTTTCTGCAGCAGCCTTGGGCAGCCAGCTGCCTGGAGGGTGGCTTTTGCTCAGTGCTGCGCTGGCAGGGGAACATGTGACCCTGCAGAAGAGACTGCTGGCACAGCAGGCTGGGCTGTGCCACCAGCACACCACCCCTGGCTGGTGTTCATGGCTTGTCTTGTTGCCTTGCAGCCCAGCAGCACATACCTCATGATCTGGATTGTTGTAGACTGCACTTCCTTCCTTGCCATCCTCTGGGCCTTCTTCTTGCTGAAGTACATTTGATCCCTTTCCTCCTCCTGGGGCAGGTCTGGTGGGGGAGGCTATAGTGTGCCCTGGGTGGCTGGTACATACCCAAACCCAATCTTATCTGCTGCCACCCCTCTCTGGACTCAAAACCTGGGGGGGTCCTCTCCTGCTGGCTAAGTGAGAGCAGTGTGTGGAGGCAGCTTTTATCACCAGATTGCAGCGAAAAATCTGGCCTGACCCTTCCTGGAGCTGCTGGATGCCTTAGTTCACACTTACTAGCTCACTCTGTGCCCCAGGGCTTGGTGAGCTGAGGCTGGGGGACCTTGCCCTTTGAGGCTTTTCCTTTACCAGTACTGCAGGCACAGAGAGCTGGGGGCTATGGGGAGGGAAGGGGGAGGCCAGATTGACATGCTAACAGCAACCCTGTTCCATCTCCTAGGAAATGCTCCCAGAGAAGACGGCCCATGGGTGAGTGTGCACAGATGTGAGCTCCCCTCCCTCGGAGCCACGTTGTGCCTGCAGGACTGTCTCTGAGAGGCAGGCAGCTTTCTCTAGCCAAACATGACTGCGGTTTGGGATAGCCTAGGGACGGAAGGGAATCCTGGCCCAAGGAGTTCCTGTCCTGCCCTTAGCAAACAGCCCTGTGGGACAGTGATGGGGAATCCCACATTCCCCAAGTCTCCTCAAACCTGTTTTTCAGGCTGCTTTGCCTGTTACTGCAGGATGGTGGCTGCCTTCTATGACTGTTTTTTCTCTGTGTCCCCAGAGTCAGAGACGGACGTGCTGCTCACAAAGATCAACAGCTTGATGCAAGAGTGACCCCTCCGGCCTGCATCAGCCATGAAGAGGGGCAGCCAGAGCCCTGCACAGCTGAAGTGGGGAACACTCCTCAGGCCAGCCTCAAGGCTCCTTTCCTTTGCAGACTCCTTCCTGAGCTTCCTGTCCCCTGTAGCCTTCCTGGCTCCTTTTGTGGTGCACAACTGCCCTCAGCTGAAAAGACCTGGAACCGGGCTCCCACTGGCAGTGAGGAACTAGAGCCTTTGCAGAGGTTTTGTGGGGCTGATTTGTGCCTGGGGGCTGAGTACTTAACCAGGAGTGCTGGGGCTAAGACCTTGCTGTGGGATTTGGAGACTAGTGGGGATTTGAGTCGCTGTTTGGTGCAGGGGAAGGGCAGCCTCTGTCTGTCAGCAGCAGCTCTACAGCCAGTGATAGGAAACCTTGTTTAAAGTGCTGCTTCCCTGGGGGCTGCCCTGCCCCATGGCTTGAGGAATAGGAAAGGGGATGCAGCGGGTGGCTTTTCACAAGATGGAGGGGGAGCTGAGCTTTTCCCACCCCCATGCTGGACACATGTCCTGCACCTTCAGCTGGCTTCATATTTGTGAGTCAGTGTGCTGGCACCTCATGCAGCAGTTAGTGCGTTTTGCTCTGGGGGGAAAGGGAGCAGGGGCTGGGGGTGAAAGGTGTCTGGGCCTGGCAAGACCATGGTCACACTCCTGTTGCTGTAAGGCTGCAGAGTTGTGCAAGGGAGGAGAGCGGTGGGATTCGGGTAGGTCTCTTTGCAGCAGGGCCTTGAACTTGGAAAGGGGTATCGGGTCAGTTTTACTTGTTCCTACTTATTTATGTCAATAAATCAACGGAGCGGTAGACACACCCCGAAGGGGTGAGTTGGGCATAACTGCTTTCTCCCCCTTGCCCCTACCTTTGCTGCCTGGAGCTGCCTTGA